GGATCTTCGGAGTCTCTCGTCTCGGCCCGGAGACACTTCGGCAGCGCTCGGCTGTGAGGGGCCGGCCCGGGGTCGGAAGGAGTCCGGGGAGTCCCGCAGCACCCGTCCCACTACAGGGTCTGGGAAGGGGCTTCCCCTGTCCAAAACCTCACCCCCCAGCCGCAGTTCACGGCTCCTGAGGTGGCTGGAAGGGGCAGCACCGCAGCCTCACGTGAGGCGTCGTGAGGGTGACTTGGAAGTTCAGGATCTTGGCTGTGAGGGGACCTGCAGCACCCACCGCACCGCGGGCCCTAACAAGGGACGACCCCAAAAACCTCACCCCCAGCCCCGTTCCCAGCCCTGCAGCCCCAAGCCCCGGCCCCTGGGGCAGAACCACGGCCCCTCACGAAGGCGGGCAGCCCTGAGGGTGACTGTGGCTGTGAGGGACCCCTGAGGGAGCCCACCCGTGTCAGTGGGGACCCTCCGGACCCGCCCTTGTGGGGACGGGTGTCCAGCTCGCCCCGTGGCCACACCGAGCCATCACCCCGCCGAGGGCTGCCACAGCACCGCTGCCTTCCCCACCTCACACCCAGGCTGCAGCACCCTCCTCACGGCCACCCGTGAGCCCGGCGGCGGCCAAGGCGGTTCGTGCCATCTCAGGGAGAGGAAAAGCACCTCGGAGCAGATTCCAGCGGATTGCCCTGACTTGTCCTGCCTTGCCGCTGGCTCCCGAGGGCTCATTCCAGCCCGCTGGCACCTTCCACCATTCCTGCCACACCGCACGTCCCAGAGAAGCACTTCCACCACCTTTGCTGTGCCCGCGGGCGTTGCTGTCCCAGTCACCCAACCCGGGGTGCTGCTCCAGGAAAGCTTTCCAGAGTTTATTTGCATTCTGTCGGCTGCCTTTTCTGGGCAGCTGCAAGTTTAGGAGGAAGATAATATTTTAGAGCAATCACAAACAAACTCTTAAATGTGAAAAGCTTCTTTCATTGAAGTGAACAGCTCCCGTGGGGGTGTATTCAGGCACTCGCAGAGTAACTGCTGCAACTGCAAGCTGGGAGAAGAGAGACAAAGGCCTTGTGCACTAAAGAAAACCCACCCAAGGAGACACATCTATCCCTGTCTATACAAGGGTCCTGTTGTAAGCAGGGAAGTAAATTTGAGTTTTAAATACAAATCCCAAAGTGGAGAATCTGGACTGGGTGTTGTCCACCAGAGCAAAACTCAGCACAGTGGGCAAAAAATAGTAGAAGGGTCTTGAGTACCTTTTCCCTTTGGAGTCAGACTGAGTTCAATAACTCTGAGTTCAGCAACTCTGAGTTATTGGGTTGTGCGGGTCAGATTTAGGACACACGAGGGTTACTGTGTATCCAGAGGGTTTCCTGTCTTCCAAGGTGTGATTGAAGAAGGAAAGCTGGCAGCTGCCAGGCTGGTCTCCAGTAAAATCAGCCCTGGGACTGGAATAGTTTCTTGCTGACTCAGGTGCTACCTGCAGGGTACAGCCACTCAGTGAAATGCCAGCGGGGATTAGTGGGGCAGGGGAAGGTGACTAATGTGCTGTTTAGTGTCCCTTTCTGGGCTCTTTGTTCCACTCTTTGTTCTCCCTTCTGGGGTAAGGGAAATACCTGACAGGAGGTGAGCTCACACCTACCTCACACTGCCTGTGGGAAATGGGGGAAAATAGGAAACAATGAGCTTTCTTCGAGGGGAAAAAGCCCATCCAAGCCCTGCCAGCCTGTAAACAAGTCCCAAATGGGGAATATTTCCACCTGAACACAGGAACAGATATTTAGAGGGGGCTCTGGGTCTTTTTTCCTGAGCCGGTTTTCCTCTGCAGCCTTCAGCCAGTTCAGCTGATTCCCCAGCAGGAAAATGGGAGAACAGAGGAATGACTTCAAAGAAAGGCCAAGTACTCCTCCACTCCCAAAACTTGAGATAACAAAGGAGGAACTTCCCTCGTTGTATGGGATTTGCCCAAGGGCTGATAGATCTACACCTCTGCTGCTGGGAGGACAATTCTCCATCCACAGCTCTTAAAGACTGTGATTATTTTGAGGGTGCAGGTAGAGCTGTGTGTCCCTGTATGGGCTATTTGCTTGAGAGCTGGACTCAATGATCCCTGTGGGTTCCTCACAACCCAGAATATTCTGCGAAATCTGTGTGGTCTGGGGGGGCTGGTTCTGTTCCATCGACCACCTCCCCTCTCTGGGTACAGCTCTTCATGCGGAAGGAAACTCATCCCAAAAGCAAATTGGCATCTCCGGCTCCCTCTGTTCTGCAGAAATAGCTGCCTGTAAACACAGCTGTGAAAGAGCCTCAGCTCCGGGATCTTTGGATGGAACACTTTTTGCCTGCTTAGAAGGGGGAAAATTGCATTTTCACCATATTTTGGAGCTGAAGCTCCAAAAACCTGCTGGTCATGTGAAGGAGCCAGGCTCCCAGCTCTGCCTTAAAGCTCTTCCAGAGTCAGTGTCTCTCCACAACCATATTTTTCCCTTCTTTTTAATTTTTCCCCGAGCAGAAAAAGCAGACATGTCTCTCTTCTACCCCACATAGGACGACTTGGCCAACAAACCCTGCAGATTTGGTGAGCCAGAGCGAGTGCCAGCTGGATTCACACCCTTCCTCCTGTCTCTCCATTTCGTTTTTCCTTCTCTTTTTCCTGCTAACTTTATCAGCACCTGGGAACTGGTGTGTCACCGTGGGCAGCTGGAGTCTGCAGTGCTGAGCTCCTGTTTTGGAGCACCACCAGCCCTTTTCCCAGTCCCACCAGTCCCTTTCCCAGTGCCACCAGTCCCTCATGTACCTGCCACAGCAGAGACACAACCTCGCAGCACAAAGTGTAGTAGGAACACTGGAGCTGTTGGTGAACTTAGGACAATACAGGATTGGGGTATCTCTGGAAAATGGCTGTTTTCCTGCAGGGATCCTTGTGAAGAGGAAAACATAAAAGCACAAAGCCGTGGTCCTGAGAGTGAGTGAGGACACACAGCTTTGTCCCTGCTTGGCTCTGAGTGAAAACCACCCCAGGGATGGGCATGAGCAGCTCCAAACTGGGATTTAGAAACCTGCTCCCCACCTCCCACTCCCTGTCCTCCTTCCTCCAGGAATGTGTGGCTTGTTCAGGGGAGCTTTTGGCCCTAAAATCTGGTGATCCCAGTGGGTGACCTCAGCACTGTTGTGGTGTGTCAGGGGTTAGATCCTAACCTGGAGGGGACAAACTGGGAAGGGAAAGAGCAGTTCAGGTGGTTGTGAGAGGCTGAACACAACCTTGCAGGCTGTCTCAGCCCCACCAAACCCATGAAGAGCTGCCATTTCCAGCTCATTCTGGAGTCTCCATCCCACTCCAGGCTCCTGCTTTCACCCAGCATGATGCAGCAGAGCCTTCCTCTTTGGGCTTCTCCTGCTTTTCCCCCACTGATTTCCTTCCAACACCCTCCTGACAAAATAAAATAAAAAAAAAGAGTCCTGCTTGGAGCTCTCCCCATCCCTCCTCCTGCCCAGGCTCAGCTTGGAGTTCTCCCCATCCCTCCTCCTGCCCAGGCTCAGCTTGGAGCTCTCCCCATCCCTCCTCCTGCCCAGGCTCAGCCCTCAGTAAAAGTCTTGGCCCTCCAGTGCACGGCTGAACACAAAATAAATCAAATACCACCCAGGACCAGGCAAGCCCATGCCAGGCCCTGGCACATGAGTGGGATGATTCACCTCCTGCCCTCTCTCTCTCTCTCTCTACACCCGGCAGCCTCACAGGGAGGCAAAATCCCACTGCCGGCTCCCAGGGAGCCTTGATCCTGGGGCTGTCCCCAACACATGACCCGCTTGGTCCCTCCCCGTGAGTAAGGCCCAGAAAGCCAAAAATATTTCCCTTTGGGGTGGTTAAACCACTTCTAACAGCATCCCATGATGGGCTGTGCTCCCTTCCCTGCTGCTGGCAGCTGGGAAAACACCCTCTCACCCCAGCCCTGCTCTCCCCACTTCATTCCTCTTTGCTGTACACCCACGCTGCTCCTCTCTTTCCCTAGGAATGCAGGTATTCCACCACATTTGAAACACCTGGGGCCACATCCAGACCACATGGCAGCATTGCTGACTCCTGCCAGCCCAGCACTGGAACGTGCAGGCAGCGATTTTCTCGGCTCCACCGCCCTCTGCGGGTTTGCGCCATTTCCAGGCAGATCCCGGGGAAAACAACGGCCACGGCCCGGCTCCAGCTCTGCAGGAAACCGAGGGCCTCACACCGAGTCCTGTGAGCAGAGTCACCACTATTGCTACATTTCCACTCCATCTGGGTGAGGAAACACGGTAAAAACAGCAGGAGGATATTTTAATGTCTGTCTTACGCAACACCCGTGTCCCCGGCCTGCTGCTGGCTCAGCCCTGCTCATCCCAGCGGCAGAAACACTTTATTCCCAAATGTTTGCTGCCAACGGGCTGCAGCCCCCTGGTTTTGCCTCAGATAACAATCCCAGGGCTCAGCAGCAAAGGAACACCCAGCACTTGGATTGTTTTATGGCCACCAGCCCTCCCAGGTGCCGGGCTGAGGCTTGTGGGGAGCCTGCGGTCCAGGTCCTGCCCTGCATTTTCTGGGCAAGCCTGGCAAAGCCGTGGAGCATCCGCTCGGGAGGAACGCTGGCCTGGGTTCTGGAGCTGGCAGCATCCCACAGCATCACCAAGCTATAAATAAGGGAGCTTGGAGAGCAACCTGTGCCACTGGATCCCAGCACAGCCCGGCCGGCCAAAAACTCGCCTGGGAGGAAGGAAAAGCATCCAGGAAAGACCTCCCTGCCGGGGAGCTGCGTGGGGCCAGGCCATAGAAGGGGAAAGCAAACAGCCACACGCAGTGAGAGCGGGGTTTTCAGGCACAAAGGCCTGGATTTAGCCTCCGAGAGAGGCAGCAGGCTGGGAAAAGCCTCCTCGGCTCAGTTTTGTCAGCACAGGACAGTCTTGGAGGTGTGGACGGGGAGAAAAGCACAGATAAAGGGATGCAAACGCTCCTGGTATTGGAAAAACAAGTTGTGAGCAGCTCCAGATCCAGTAAAAAGTATTTATTATTTCAATTACAATAAGCCCCACGCATAGGGTGAAAAAATAGTTACAAAAAACAGCCCCTCCCATCCCTCCCTTTACATATAAATATTAAAAATCCCTCTGTGCTTTCTGTCCAGAGCAAGAAGGTGACAACACGCAGCACCTGAGCTCCTGTCAGTGCTTTCCTCTCAAAATGAGTATTAAAAACATCCCTTAAACAACCCCTCACCCCCATCCCGGTTGGATCTCATGCAGATGCCAAACCAGCTCTGGAGGGACGGAGTTTTGGGGTTTGTGGTGATTTGGGGGCTTGCAGATTCCTGGGCACAGAGGGTGCAGGCACGGCGGCGAGCGGAGCAGCGGCAGGAACCGCCTGCACTTGTCTGGGGAAGCTTTTGGGCCAGGAAATCCTGGCTGGCCTCGCTTCAGAGGGGACAGGAGGGAGAACCGGATGCTTCATCCACACCGTCACCACCTTGGTGACATCTTTGGCATGTCAACTTTTCCCTTTGCACTCCCAAATTAAAGCTAATCCCAGGAGCATCCCGGCACAGCCTCTGTGACTTGCAGCATCCTCCAGCCCTGTCCCCTGGCCCGCTGTCCCCACTTTTCCCATAAGCATCCTCTGAGGACAGTCCCTCCTGGAGAAACAGGATCCAAGGCTGGAAGGTTATATCCACGGCCCCACCCAGCTTCCCTGACCAAGGGACTGTCACCACAGGGTGCTGCATCTACAGCTGCGCTAAGTAAAAAAAATTAATAAATATACTAATCTTTTACTAAAAAGGCGGCTTTAAAATGCATTTTCCCTGAAATCTTCCAGTGTATTCCACAATGCATGAAAAAAAAATATATATTTCCCCTCCCCCAAAAAAATATATCTTAAAATATTTCCCATCCTTGTGTGCGCATCTTTGGAGAGAGGAAAGTACGTTGGCTGTACTTAGACAAGCAGACAAACCTGCTGGTGCCGGGGGTTCCCTTTATACCCTCCAAAAAAAGAGGGATTTTGCTGGGGTGGTGGTTCAGGGTAGTGCCCATGGACGTGGTGGGAAAGAAGAGACCCCCCCCAAACCAAAGTCATTTCACCAACGAGCGAGGGGATGAGGAGTTTTCACAGTGGATCGAACCTCGGACGACACCGGGGCAGCTCTGGCTGAGCCGGGCTCTCCCTGGTGCAGAGAAGTGGTTTGAGCCTCACAGGACAGGGGAAATCCAGCAGAGGATGGAACCACCGGCCGCTGGCTCCCGCTGGGGCGCTCGCCCTTCACCAGACCTCGCACTTCTTGGGGGGGTTCATGGGGGAGCCCACGGGGCAGCCGAAGTGCTCCGCGAACTCCCGCGAGTTGGAGACGGTGCCGATGACGCGGAAGCGCGAGGGGCTGTGGGGGTCGGTGATGAGCCCCTCGTGAGAGCTCTCCGGCGTGCGAACCGAACACCACACCTGCGAACGGGGGCGAGGGGCCTGAGTGCTGACACCCCTCGACCGCCACGGGGCCCGAGTCTGACCTCCCCACCCGCGTGACAGGCACCAACATGGCTCTGTAACCAGCACCACCCCGATCTGGTTCACTATCCACTACCTCCCTGGAGGCTTCAATTTTGCCACCACACCTTCCCACCCCCATCTGGGCACACACCACCCCCAAAAACCCGTGTGCCCACCCTCCCCACCCGTCACGTGACCCACCTGCGCGAAGCCAACGAAGAAGAGCTGGTGGTTGGTGAGGCCGAGGGTTGGGAGGGTTTCCTCATCCCCGTTCTTTTTCAGCCAGTTTTGATACGCCTGTAGGCCAGGGAGCACAGCGGGCTCAGGGGACAGTGATCCCACCACGCCACATTCCCCACCACACGTCCCCAGTCCCGCAGCCCTACCCGGTAGGCAGCCTTGAGGCCCCCGTTGTCGGCAATGTTCTCCCCGAGGGTGTGCTTGCCGTTGACGGCCTCGCCGTTGACGGTGTAGTTGCCGTACTGCTCCACCATGCACGCTGTCTGACGCTTGAAGGCCTCCACCGAGGAGTTCTTCCACCAGGGACGCAGGTTGCCGTCCTTGTCGTATTCCCGGCCTGCCGAAAACACGTCGGGATCCTTCATCACCGCACTGGCCACTCCTCCGGCCGCCCACCCGCCTGGCCCTGGCCATACCTTGGTCATCGAAGGCATGTGTCAGCTCATGGCCCACCACCACGCCGATCCCACCAAAATTCAGGGACCTGCAGAAGGGCAGAGACTTAGAGAGCAGCCACTGCTCCCCACAGCCATGAAATCTGGGTACAGGAGAAAATTTGTAAATCCTGCCCTCTGTGTTTTCCCTGGGCTCTTACTTGGGGGATGCACGGGTGTAAAAGGGGGCCTGGAGGATGCCGGCGGGGAAGACGATCTCGTTCTTGGTGGGAGAGTAGTAGGCATTGACTGTGGGAGGTGTCATGCTCCACCTGCAGGGACACCAACAACACCCACTCACCACGTTGCATTGGCCCAAGTCTCACTGCCCAAAACCAGCTGGTGGATGCCAAACCCCAGTGGCTCCAGATATCCTGATATTCCCCACTGAGCACATCAGGGAAGTGGAGCAGAGGACTTACTGGTCCCGGTTCGGCGGTTTCCGGAGCTGGTCGGCCGTGACCCTGGCCGAGAAGTTGTAAAACTGCATGACGTTCTCGAAGTAGAGGTCGGACACGGCCTCATACTGCAAAAGAACAAGGCGTGAGTGGTGTGTGGGGATTGCCCAGCCCCGCTCCTCCCTCCACGGTCACGTCTGAGCCTCCGGAGCCGCCTGAGTTACGGCTGCTCTTGTTTCTCCTCCTCTCCAACATCTGCAGAGTCTCTGGAGGGTAATGAATCACTGTTACGGAAAACGGCCCCTCCTTTTCCCAGACAGGGATCCTGAGAGTCCCAGCCACCCCAGGAGCGGCCCACAGCTCTCTGGGAAGTCCCCAGAGAAGGGCCAAGGACATCAGTGAGACCCTTCTGGAGGAAACCTGGGGTTCAAGGCTGCCCAGAGGCCACGGTGATGAGCATGTCCTGTACATCCTACAGAAGACCCAGGGGACATACCCAACCAACTCACGTCATTAAAGACTTTATCCAGCTCCTTGGGGTCCATGATGAACTTGGGGTAGCCAATCATGTTGTAGATGGCATCTGCCTGGGGGGTGACAAGGACCAGAGTGCTTTTAGTGCCGGGGATGGAGGGACAGGCTCACCCAGCTCCACCTCCCTCCATCCTCACCCCTGCCCAGCTCTGCTGCCAGCACCTCACCTTCTCTTTGGCCGATTTCCTCGTCTCTTCGTCCATCCACTGCAGGGTCTCCAGGCTTTCCTCGAAGGCAGTTTTAATCTCTGCAATCATTTCCTCTGCCTAGACAAAACAAGGCAGCACAGCGTCGGGCCGGAGAGCCAGCTTCCCACTCCGGAGAGGTCAAGGCCCTCCACACGAGTGGACAGGAAGAGGCTGGGCGGCCAACACAGCACGTGGGCCGGTGAAAAACCGGCACATGGAGACAAACATGGGCTGCCTGGACAGCTCCACCACTGCGGTGGCTTCCCCGGCACTGGGACTCGCGCGCTGCCGGCTCGGGGACGTACCACCTGCTTGCTGTCCTCGGCGAAGGTGGCCTTGACGAACATGGCCCCCAGGGCAAAGCCCAGGTTGTTGTCCGTGTCACTGATGCAAAACTTCCAGCGTGGGAGGCAGGTCTGCGTGGGACAAGAGGTGGTCGGTCACTCAAGGGCCGAAGCCCCGCTCCTTCCCACCCTTGTACCCCACCAGGAGAGGAGGTCTCCATCCATCCCCTGCCACCCCAAAACCCACCCCACATCTCTACTGTCTGGGTGCCACACGAAAAGGGGCTTGACATAAAAACCCATCACCATTTTAATGGTAAATCAGGGCTGTTAGGGGCTGCACCATCACCTTTTTCGTCCCATACATCACTTCCATGAATTTTTCCTCGGCATCTTGGAAGCGCTGGTCAAGGAAGGGGCTGGTTTTCCGCACCAGGTTCCAGATCATATAGTTGTGGAGGAGACTGTGGCGAGAGGTAGTGAGTGAGCAGCGGGACCTGCCTGCCCACCCTGGGCACCCTCCGTGCGGGCGGGGGGCTCTCACCACTTATCCGTGGCCAGGATGAGGTCAGACACCTGCTCCAGGTACTCCTTGGCGTAGACCACGACGGGCTCCGACTCATTGAGCTCCACGGGGTAGAAGACCGTGGAGAGGAAAGGCATCCAGTCCACGGCCGGCGCCAGCTCCTGCAAAAGCCACAGCGCTGCTACAGACCCACACGCCATTGAGCGGGGTGGCAGCTGCTTCCCAAGCTGGAATCGGCCACATCAGTCCCCGTTTGATGGATCCAGCTGATTTTGCAGAGGCCAGTTCCCATGCCAGCAGCATCCTCGAAAGGTCGGAGGGTAGTAAACTATTTCCTCCCACAAAGGAAAAGAAAGTGGGGCGGGTGTCAGAACTGTTGACACGACCCCTGTGGGGCCGCGGGGAGGTGACCGGGCTGACGTCCAGGCGCGGCAGGGCCGGCCGGGTGTAAGCGCCGCAGCGGGACGGCCGCCGGCCCCGGGGGTGGTCCAGAGGCTGGGTGGGATTTCCCCAAGGAGGACATGGGCCAAGCTGTTGCACAAGAGCCTCCCAGGCGGTGCTGCCTGGCGTCAGGCTTCCCAGAGGAGCTGCGTCACCTCCACCCATGCATCCCACTTCCCAAACCATGGCAGAACGGAGAGCCTTGCCAGCTCCATCCCTACCTTTAGGTCTCCGGCTGTCATTTTATGGTAGATGAGCTCCTCATCTCGGTGCTTCTCCTGGGGGATGGTGATGTTGGCCAACGCTGTCTCAAAGTCCAGGATCTGCTGCATCTGCTGGCGCGTCGACTCCTCATCGGTGCCTCCCAGGAACATCCCCAGCTGCACCATGTAGTTCAGGTACCCGGCGAGCACCTGGGTGGGATCAGCGCCAGCGGGATCAGCATCGGGTGGGATCAGCAAGGCAGGTGCCACACACCCACAGCGCCTCCCCAGCCAACCCACATCCCCCCGACGCCTCCACCTTCTCATTCTCTGTCTTGTTCAGGTAGTAATCCCGCGATGGCAGGCCCAGCCCCGACTGATCCACCTGGATGACGTTGCTGTTGGAGTTCTTGGAGTCGGCGCTGACGTAGACGGAGAAGAAGGGCGAGGTGCGGTAATGCGCCGTCACCTCCCGCAGCGTCTCGTTGAAGTTGCCACCGGCCCAGGTCCCTGTGATGTTCCAGCCACCCAGCTGGGGACAGACAGCAACCAGTTTTTGGGTAAGGAACAACCACCTGGAATTGCTCCGATATCCCCAATACCCATCCTGGTGGGAAACATCTTGCAAGGGGGCTAAAAAGCCCCATTATAGAATTATAAATCGGATAAATTATAGGATTATAAATCCCTAATAAATCTCTCTTGGCCTGCCTGCCCTGGGGGTTGCTGTTCCCCAGGAAGCACCAGGAATGGAGTCTGGAGGGTGCTGGAATTGCCCTTATTTGATCTTTTCCCCTCATTCTGCAGACAGAAGATGGCTTTTCCGCGAGGAGCGGGACGGACCTTTTGGATGAGCTCCATGAGCGGGGTGGCACGCAGCTCCTCAATCTTGCTCTCGTTCATGCAGGCCTGGTAATAGCGCTGTGCCTTGCGCTCCGCCTCGCTCGACACGTTGGCCGTGGTGTTTTCTGTGGACGGTCCCCAGGGGGAATCACAGGAGGTCCCCAGGGATGGGCATCCAACACACATGGGGGCTGCTGATTACACTGGAGCCCCCCCTCCCTTGCGCCATGGGAATATTCAGCCCCGTTTTGAGCAAAGCCAGGCTCCAAACCGGCGCCAAGGATTGCCCCAACAGGCCCCTCTGTGCCCCTGAGAGCACCCCACGGCCCCAGCCCTTCCTGGCCTCCTGCCCCCCCCTCCTTTCCCACCCGCAGCGACTGCTCCAGCTCTTTGGGAACGAAAGATAAAGAAAGAAAAAACAAAAAGCATTTTTCCAGCAGCTCTGATATTCCCAGCATCATCCAGCCCCCTGTGCTGCCCTTGCCTCTGTGCTGCTGCCCCCCAGTCCTTTATTATTTACTCCTGTAAAAAGGAACAATAAACCCATTTTTCTTCTCTGCCTCCAAAACCAACCTTTTATCTCCCCCCCGCTAAAATTCTGCCTCCCTTGAGAGTTTTTTTGGGGTTTTTTATTTATTTTCCTGATGACACAGCTTGCACCTTTGGCTTCCCAGCTGTGTGGTTTTATTAACTAAAGGTCCCTCAGCTCCAAGGAATTCAAGGAAATGCCGAACGCGACCACTTGGCCGGAGGCCCAGTCCCTTCTCCTGGTAAAACCAGCACCAGATTTCTGCAGGAAGAGCCAGGGACGAAGCTGTTCCCGCGCCACCCCCCTTCTCCCAAAAGACAACACTCTTCCCAAACCTTCTCTTTCCAGATAATCAGCCCTGGCGCAGTGGAAAGTGCTGATAAGGAGCCAGTTGTTTGCTCAAAGCCTGAACAAACCGTCCCTGCCGGTTGCTCGGATAAGCGGCTCCGCTCCGCTGTTCGCACGCAGAGGCTGAACCCAGGATCCTCCCTTTGCTGGAGGAGTTCTGGCCCCCCAAAAAAATGGCCATATTGGCAGCCAGACCTCCAAAAAGGCTGCTCACAAAGGCTGGAAGCTATAGGAGCAGGAAAAACCCATATCCTTGGGGTGGTATTGCAGGCTCTGGAGTGCAAATCCTGAATTTCAAAGCTCCTGTGAGGCCTGCAGAGCAGAGGCCAGGAACCTTTTCCCTACTCGGCACCAAAGAGCAGCAACATCACAGTCAAAAATCCCAGGAGCACCCAGGAGAGCAAACACAGCCAGGATCTGTTTCCCAATGTCCTCGCAACATGCGTGTCACGGATTGGTTTGACGCTGGAGTTCAATTCCAACCCCAGATCCCCACGGACATGTTTTTGACATCCCCGGGACCTAACAGGGTCCCACTGCTCCCCTGCACTCACCCAGCAGGTGCTTCATGATGGCCTGGTTGTGCTCCCAGAGGTTGTTGAAGGTGCCCCAGCGCGAGTGGCCATCGGGGAGGGGGTTGGCCTTGATCCAGCCCCCGCAGGCGTAGCTGAAAAAGTCCTCGCAGGGATTCACCGCCCGGTCCAGCGAGCTGAGGATGGAGCTGGTGACGGAGATGCAGGACTCCGACAGGCACACGGCGGGTGGCCCTGGGGGCAGCAGGGAGGGGTTCAGCTCCTCCACCACAGCACCATGAGCTGCCCCACGGAGCATCCTGCCCCACGCTGAAGGATGTGGGCACATATCCCACCTGGTGCCCGAGCATCCCGCCTTCTACCTTAACATCCCGTTCCAGGCCAAGCAATATAGACCAGCATCCCAGTCCATGCCCGAGCACCCTACCTGATAATCCCATTCCAGGGCAAGGGATGTGGGCAAGCATCTCATCCTATGCCCAGAGATCCCACCCAGCGCCCAAGCATCCACCCTGGGGTGAAGGATGAGGGCAAATATTCCATTCTGCACTCAAGCATCAAGATCCAGGATAAAGGGAGCACCCTATCCTGCATCTGAGCATCTCCTCTGGGGCAAGGGATGCAGGTGACCATCCTGTCTTGAGCCCAAGGATCCCACCCCACACCTGAACATCCTGCCTGGTTCCCAAGACCATGGCACGCAGGTGACCATCCCACCCTGCACCAAAGATCCCATCCTGGGAACGCCCCCAGCAACCCGCCCTGCTGACAGGGGCAGCACGAGGACTTACTGGCTCTGTACTGGAAGATGAGTCCCAGCAGACAGGCCACCAGCACCACCGCCAGCACCCCCACCAGCACCAGCAGCTGCCTCTCGGCGCGTGTCCGCTCGGCCCAGCAGCCGCGGCCGCCCCTCGAGCCGCGCAAATTCACCTGCGGGAACAGCAGCGTCGTCTCCCCGCCGGCACAGAAACCCACCGAGGCAGCCCCCATCGTGCTTCCTGCAACCCCACGGCACTCATTCGGCCCCCGGCGAGGGATCAGGCTGGGAAAGGCAGCAGCTGCCTTCCAGAAACCGGGCAGGAAGGGCGGCACAATGGCAGGAAAGGGAGCGGGACGAGCGCTTCGGCGGGTTCACCTGCTGCCCTGTGCCACCCCGAGCCCCTCCTTGAGCACGGCGTAACCCCCCGGGTGTCCCTGTCCCCACCGCCGGCACTGGGACAGGGTGGGGGCTGCGTCGGGAAGTGCCTTGACAGGATACTCCCACTCAGCCGAAAAACATCCCCAGGAAACATCCCAACGCGCCGGCGAGCGGAGACGGCCCCGCCGGGAAAAGTAAAAACACATTTGGGGCAGAAACCACCATTCTAGAAAGTGCTGGGAGCGGGGCCAGCACCGAGAACATCGCTCAGGACCCGAACCTTCCCACGCTGGCACCACACTGGCACCACGCTGGCAGCCGTGGGGGTTTTTCTCGCCACCCTTGGCCCTCTTTAAGCCGCTTTCCTGCTGCCTGGGGAGGAATTAACCTAATCCCCTTTTGTGCCGGGACAAAACTGCCAGTGCCACGGTAATTGCTCACCCCAGCCACACTCTGGGAAGGGGCTTGGCCGGCAGAAAACCTGGGAGTTGAAACAGCAGAGCCAGGATATGGCCCCGCAGCCTCCCCGTGCCAGGAGCAAAGGGCAGCGGCAGCAGGAGCCAAGAGGACTCTGCCCACAGCAGACTTTACCCCGTGGAGACAGGTCCCAGGTGGAAAACCCTTCTGCACCCCCTCTGCCGCTTGCCAGGACCTAAAATCCCACTTTTTTCCCACCCTAAAAGACACACAAAGCCCCACCTGGAAGCCGTTGGGGTATCCATCACCATCACCAAGGGAGTCCAGGGGGTCCTCGTCGTCCAGCGTTGCCCGCTTGTAGGTCGACATCTGCACAGGGAGATTGGCAAACGGAGCACTCAGAGACTCGGGGTCGAGGAAGAAGAGGAGGATGAGGAAGGTTTACACACCCTCTAGAGCCACCTCCTCCTCCGGGGAGCTAAATCCCGAATGGCTCCGGGGCAGTAAAGCACTACACAGACGCCAGGGGAAGGTTATGGAAAGCAAAGAGGGCTGGAGCCAAAAGCTGAGCGAAGCCCGAACCCGCCTCGCTCTCCCCCGGGGCTGGGTTGTGCAACCTCCCCTTCAGCCCGGAGTAAAGCTGGATCCACCTCCACCCCTCAGCAGGCAGAGGGATCTCCCCCAGCCCCCTGCCAGGGAACCCCGGTGTGCCGGGGACCTGGGGAAGGCTGGGAGCAGGGAAAATGGCTTTCCACCCCGAAACTACCAGCTCGCTCCTGCTCCACACCCTGTCTGTGAACCCTGCGCACCGTGGAACACCCGGCCAGGTCCCAGCGAGCACCCAAGGGCGACACCTCCCTGGATTTCAGCTGCAGACGGGCTCCCTCCCGGCGCCGTGCCCCCGGGCACTACCTTGTGCCAGTGCCCGGCTCTTATCTCATCCCCCAGCAGAAAAACAAGGAAAACCTCGCGGGCTGGCAGCCGGCCCTTATCGTGCCGCCGCCGTTTCCTTCCCCCTGGCACAGCCCTGCCACCCAGCTGGGCTGCCTCCCGATGGAGAAAACAACCCTCCGCCCACCACTGAGGAGCTGGGCACCCTAAAATCCACCCTGGCCCTGCCACAAGGGGCTGAGCACCCCAAAATCCACCCTGACCCCACCACTGATGGGCCAAGCGGTGCCAGTCACGTCCCTGCAGCCCCGAGCAGTGCAGGGTGGGGGTTTGCACCCCTCTGGATGTCCCCATCCCGCTGCCATCAATCCCAAAGGATGAGATGATCCCAACCCGGCACAGCCGCGCCTCGGGCTCCCCTGGCAGAAGGAGATGCAATGAAAGTGCCCGTTCTCAGCCTTGTTTCCAACAGCAGCATTCCCAAACCTCCCCTTGCAGAGTTAATCACGAATTCCATCCTCTCCTTGGATCCCATTCCCTCCCCAGATCCCAAATCCCAGCCTCAGCTTAATTAACCACACTACCCACCTGGGGAAGAAAAATGGTTAAAAGAGCAAGGTGGTTTCCCTCCTTGGTTGTCCCAAAATCTCCGTTTCCAGCCCCAAAATCTCCCCTGGGCGCCCGCCTGGAGCCTGTGAACCGCTCGGGGAAAAAGCCTCAACTGCAAGATTTTATCGCGGGGCAAATCTGCGTTTAGAGCCTATTTTTTTCCAGTCCCCTTTTCACTTTTTTCCACCTGTTTTTGCACTTCGCACATGGCTGAAATTGGCAGCTCCGGGCACAAATCCCCCGCTCGCACTGGGGGGATCCATGAAGCCCCCATGGCTCGGCAACACCAAATTCCTGGAATCCCAGCTTTCACTTCATTTCCTGAGGAAACGCGATTTTTTTTTTTTTCAACGATTCCCCCCCCCGCCTACCCCAGCCACAAAACAGCAGGAAAAAGGGAAAAGACAAAAAAAACCACCTTTTTTTTTTCTTCTTGCAAGGGATGTGCTGGCTGAACCCTCTATCAGCCATCAGAGAATCCAAACTGAGCCTGAACCCCTCCACCCCTGAAACACCCCGGGGGGCAACGGGATCAACACCCAGCATCCTTAATTTGGGGGAGATTGGGTCAGGGAGGTATTTTTAGCGCCCGCACCCCCCATTTTGGGGGCACAGCAGCACCCATGGGTGCTCCCCACCCCTGCCCTGCTCCTGCAGCAGGAACAAAAAGCGGTGGTTTCGGGTGTATTTTTGTGACATCCCCCCCCTCCCCCAGCTCTGTTGTTTGCTTCCATCCGAATAAAAACGCATCTCCCCGGCTCCAACAGGGCGGGGAGGAGGCACCCACACTTCAAACCCCCCACCCAAAGCCATTTCCACTCTCTTTACAACTCATAAAAGTCTCCGCATTACCTTAAATCGCCCGGTTTTCCCCCAAACCGCTCCTTCGCCTTATAAACAATAAGCCCCACGTGCTCCGAGCCCGCACGCACCGAGGGATGTCTGGGGGGGCACCCGGGTCTCCCCGGCCCCGGGGAGCCCCTCACCCCCCTCCGGGGGCACCCCGAGCTCCTCCGCCCGCTCCCCACCCCCGCCCGGGCGCCATTTCGGAGCCGCCGCCGCCTCCGCGATCGCGATGGCGATTCCTTCACCTCCCCCCGGCCCCTCCGAGCCCCCCAATCCCACCCCCGGCCCCTCCAAATCACCCCCGCACCCCGAACCCCCCCCCCGCCCAGCACCCGTGGGTGCCCCCCGCACCTCCGCAGCGCCCACCGAGGCTCAGCCCGCTCATTAGGATGCCCGGCGGTAATTAGCAACCCCTGGCGGTAATCAGGGGTGCCGGCGGCAATTAGGGGGGCTGGGGAGGGGGCTGGGGGGCTCCCCGGTTTTGCAGGGAGCCCTGGCTGCAGATGAATTAATAAATAATAATAATTAAAAAAAAAAAAAGCTTAAAAAGGAGCAATAAAAGGGTTAAAGTTTACAAAAAAAATAAGGGGGGGAACAGCCCAGTTTGGGGGTGTTCGCAAACAGCCCCCCCCCAAAGTGGGTGCTGCTGGCGAGGGGGGGGCTGTCCCCCCATACCCCCCCCCCTTTGCAGAGGGAAACGTGGTGCAAATCCCTGCGGGATTGGGGCAAGGGGTGGGTTTGGGGGGTCCGGGGGGGGTTAAGGGGGTCATCTGCTTTGGGATCGCCATCCCGGGGGACCCACTGGCTACAAAGCAAAGGCGGCTGGGGGGGGGAGCGAGGGGGGGGGCACCCAGGAGTGCAGTGGGGGTTCCTCGGGATGCAGTGGGGGTCCCTTAGTGTGCAGTGAGCGATCCCTCAGGGCTGCAATGGGGGTCCCTCGGGGGTGCAAAGGCGGTCCCATGGGGGTGCCGGGGCGTCCCTTGGGATGCAATGGGGGGGGGGGGGGGGGCCCCCCGGGGGGCAACGAGCATCCCCCGGGAGAAGCCTCGCCCCGCGCCCCGCTCCGGCCAAGGACCCCCCAGCCAGCCCCCCCTCGGGGCCGAGGGAGCCGCCGGGCCCCCCACTCACCATGGCTGTGCCCCCGCTCCGCCGGCCCCGCTGGGGCGCTGAGCCCGGCCCAGCCCGAGCTGCCGCCGCGGCCTAGCGAGGGTGGCGGGGGGGGACGAGCAGGGGATGTACCTGGGATGGGAAACCAATGGGGCCGCGGAGGGACGGGCTTCACGCGCGCCTCCCTTAACTCTTTCCTGGGGGGGCCCAAACCCCGTTCGGGGGGAGCCACGCGTGTTCCCCGGGAGCGTCCCCCCGAGAGACCCCCGGCTCTCCCGGCCGCGGGGGGATGCGGCGCGTCCCGGGGGAGCGCAAGGAGCGATCCCGCCTGTGCGTGCGTGTGCAAGGGGAAAAGCACGCGGGACCGGGGCTGTGGGATGAGGGACCGGGGCTGTGGGATGAGGGACCGGGGCTGTGGGATGAGCGCCCGGTCCTGCGAGCGTGTGCTCGTGCGAGCGCCAGTCGTGCAAGGACACGCGTGTGTGACCGCACCAGTGCCAGCCGTGCAGTGACCGTACCAGTGCCAGTCGTGCAAGGACACAAGCGTGTGCTCGTGCGAGCGCCAGTCGTGCACGGACACGCGTGTGTGACCGTACCAGTGCCAGTCGTGCAAGGACACGCGTGTGTGACCGTACCAGTGCCAGCCGTGCAAGGACACGACCGTGTGCTCGTGGAAGCGCCAGCCGTGCACGGACACGAGTGTGCAAACACGTGCTCGTGCAAACAAACGGTGTCACGCACCCGTGCAGTCGAGCACCGGTGGAGGTGCGAGTGTGCCCGAGCGCGGGGGGTGCTGCCCGCACCCTGCCGCTGAGGTGGGAGCCCACGAACACGTGCTTTTAAGCGTGCAAGAGCGTAGTTGTGCACGCTTGTGTGTTAAGTGTGCAAGAGGGAGCTTTTCCGCACGCTCACGCAACCCACGGCTGCGCTGCCGTGGTGGCAGGAGCGGGACAGGGATGGGGACACGCGGTGCCACCACATTCCCCACCCCCCCCGCCCGCACCGCACCGCCAAGCTGAGCACTGACACGCTCATCACACCCACGGGGCTCTCAATGGCTTTGCTGGGCTGGGGAAGCCCTTGGGGGGGGGCTTCAAAGCGGTGAAAGGAGGATGATGGGTGGAAGAAGGGGGTGCTGGAGGGATGTAGGGGTTCCGGAGGGATCTGGGGGGTCCGCAGGGGGATGTGCCCATCCCGTGGCGCCGGGACGGCGTTGGGGCGCTCTTGGTCGCACCCTGAGACTCTCGGGGAGCGGATTTTTGGGCCGAGACCGCCACCTTCTGGGAGGCCACCCACGGCCCCGCGGGGCACGGAGCCCCCCGGACCCCCGCGATGGGGAAACTGAGCCAGGGAAGGGGGTCAACACCACCCTCCCCGCCATTGTCACCACGTGTTTACTGTAGGACCTACAGTAACGCCGCGGGGTCGCAGCAGGGATCATTTGTGGGCCTCAGCAGGAGCCCGCGTGGGGAAACTGAGGCAGGGGGACCATCACCTCCAGCACAGCCCCTCGCTGGTGTCGCTGGCACGGCTTGGGTGAAAATAATGCAAAATCCGGCAAAACACACATCTACCCCCCAGGGGGGCACCCCAACTCACCCCAGTTTCCCGGGGGGGTCGGGGGAGGGTTGCTCAACTCCCACAGCCAGGCTTGCTGCTCCCCAGTCCTCCCAGTCCTCCCAGTATAACCCGGCAGAGGGCACCAGTAAGCCCAGTTTGTGGCCTTTTGTCCCCCCCCCCCCCCCCCCGCCCCTTGCTGGCAGCGGGGGGAGGGTGGAGGAAGGGGAGGAGGAGGAGGAGGCGAAGGCCGGGTGCGGGGGGATTTAAGGGCCCGCGGTCCCCCCGGCCCGGCCTCCTCACGCCGCCCAGAGGGACGTGGGTGTCGGGACCCAAGTTTGTGCGGGTACGTGTGTGACCCCCTCCCCTCCCCGGTAAGGACCCTCCGGGCCACCGCGGCCACCCCGGGGGAGCGGGGGGTCCCCGGGGAGCGGGGAGTGCGGGGGGAGCAGCGGAGGGGAGGCGCGATGGGGATGCGGGGGGTGATGGGAGGCGGGGGTGCGATGGGGACACGGGGTGTGATGGGGACGTGGGTGTGCAACAGGGACACGGGGGTGCCGTGGGGACGTGGGGCTGTGATGGGGACGTGGGGCTGTGATGGGGACATGGACAGGATTGGGACACGGGTGTGCGACAGGGACGTGAGTGTGTGGTGGGGACACGGGTGTGCAATGGGGCCACGGGCATTTGGTGGGGACACGGGCACGGGATGGGGACACGGACATGCAGCAAGAACATGGATGTGTGATGGGACATGGGTGTGGAACAGGGACGCAAGTGTGCAACGGGGATGGGGATGTGATGGGGGCACAGGCCGGGGACGGGGACGGGGGTGTGTGAGGAGAACATGGAGGTGCACTGGGGACACGGGCACACACAGGGGACGGGACACGCCATGGGGACAGGGGTGTACAATGGGGATGCAGACGTGCAGCAGTGACATGGGCGTGGGATGGGGACACACACGGGATGGGGACATGGCCATGTGGTGGGGACCCCAACGTGCAGTGGGGACCCAGCCATGGTGGGGACATTGGCCACGTAGTGGGGACCCCGCTGTGCCACGGGGGCCGTGCCACCGTCCCCCAGCCCGGGTTGGTGACAGTGAGGTGACGCCCCATGGCACTGGTGGCCGGGGGAGGAGGGGGGAAGCTGGCGTGTCCCCAGGGGGTCACATCGGTGACTGCGCAGGGAGGGGACGTTTCCTTCTGTCCCCGCTTGGCTGACCCCGGGGCGAAGGTCTCGGTGGGGAAACTGAGGCACGAGCGGGTGCCACCCGCAGCTCTCTCTGTGCAGCACCCGCTCAGCACCGCACGATGAAGGCTCTTCTCCTCCTCCTCGCCCAGCTCTGCTCGGCATCGCTGGTCCCCGGTAGGTGACGTTTGGGGGGCGGCACCCCGGCAGCGGGTGCTGTTGGGTGCTATGGATCCCG